CGTCTCCAGCTGCTGCTGCTGCTGCTGCTGCGTGGTTTGTGCCAGGCACGGCTGCCCCAGGAGACGCTCGTGACAGCGGCGTTCGTGTGCGCTCGACCCAGGGACCTCTCAGCATCCTCATCCTCATCCTCATCTTCACCCAGCCCAGGGGCTGGCAAAGCAAGGGCACCCCAAGGCTCTGCCTGCATCTTGTGTAGGACCAGGGGAGCTTCACCTCCAGACCGAACCAGAGCTGGGCTGGGGGAAGCAACTGCTCCTCAGTCCTGTGCTGTGCTGGGGCACGGAGCAATGGTCCTGTCCTGCTGCTGTGGGGTGGGCACGGAGCAACCATCCCTGCTGCTGTGGGGTGGCTGTGGGGTCTGGTGTTCAATGCATGAAATGCAGCCAGCAAAGAGGGAGCCGAGCGCTGTGGGGTCTGGGTGCTGCGTCCCCATGATCCCCCCTGAAGAAACGACACCAGCGCTGCAGGGGGACGGGGCCAGAGCATCCCCAGGGGGGTCCCCTTGCCCACTGGGAGCCTGGGCGAGGCGGAGGACGCTCAGTTGTGTGACAGCCTTTGGGAAGAGCCAAACCACTTTCCCTGCCGCTGACTTTCGCCCTGCATGGGGTAAGGAGCCTTTTCCCCACCCCCTGTTCATTCCTCCGTTGCACCACCACGTTATTTGCACTACCGGCAAGGTTTTGTTTGCAGCCTGCGCCCCCTCCTCCCGTCCCAAAGGAACCGAAGCTGCTCTTTTACCTGGCTGCAGGGGCAGAGGCTGCTCGGCCGGCGCCTGAACTGACTGCTGCAGCATCCCCTACGAGAGCAGGAGAGGGAACAGTCTTAACACGGGACACTCTCATCATCGGCTTTTTAAGTTATGCACTTTGTTTAAAAAAAAAAAAAAGATTAAATACGTTTTAAATGTTATTTAATGTCTTTTCCAGTAAAAGCCAAAATAAATAAGTAGATGACTGCGGTGCGTGCACGTCTGGGAGGGGTTGAAGAAGTCGCATGGGGACAATTTTAGGGGGAAGTAAAGCTACTTGTGTAGTAGCAGGGTCACAGAGGGCTTAAATGGCCCAAATTGCAGATGACGGGTGGTGTTTTCAGTGCTGTCATGTCCTGAGCCTGGCAGAGAGCTGTTTGTACGTATGCACACACACCTACGGAGGAGATGAGTGCCAAATGAGTGCGTACAACAGCGCTGCCCGGCAGCGGTGCCTTGTGTTTCTCAGCTCTACCCCTCCACTGAGAAACCAGCCCCTCTTGGGGGACGCTGCCAGACACCACTGGTGCCCCTGCCACCTCTGCAACCGAATTAAAGCTGCGAGGAGAGAGACACAAAGTGAACCCCAGCCCGGAAACCCCTGCAGATGCACCAGGGGAAATGGTTTGTACAGCAGAAAACCCAGTCCTGGCAGTGAAGGTTTTAATACCACAGCTCGTTACAAAAATTAAACTCCTTTATTTGGCAAATCAGAAAAAAATCGGGGCTAGAGCAATAGTACAAATTAGTACAACAGTACAAAGAACCACGCTCGCTGCACCTTCCCTCCACCCCAATCCATGTTACAGACGGCACCCTCACGCTCATTACTGTGAATTAGCTCAGCTGTGGCTGAAACGAGGGGAATCCAGCACAGGGAGCGGGTCCTGCACTTCACCTGGCCAGGTGCACCCCATGAGCGGGGATGGGACAGCTCGGCTGGGTCAGAGATGAACAGGGGTGCTTTTTGGGCTGGACACAGGAGTTCCCACTGGATGAAGCACACCAGATCCACGTTTTCCCAGTTCCTTCTTCAGGACCTTTCGCACCCGGGCTGTCCCCCCGCAGCCTCACACACCAAGCACCTCGCTCGCTTCATGGGCACAAAGGGAGGGATGGACCTCAAAATCTGGACCCAACTTACCAAGCGCTGCTTGGGTTCAGGGCCATCCTCACTTGAGTTGCTTCTCATCATCAGCCACCCCAAAGCCTTCCCCTGCCCCAGCACTCAGGAGCAGCAGGCAGGGGCCATGGGACGCTGCTTGTCGCTAAATGTCCAGGTGGAAGCCGGACGCTGCGGGGTTTCCTTGGGGCGCTGGCAGCTGCCTGGGTTTGCACAGAAAGGGTTTGTGGCACGTGGAGTCCGTCAGAGGGGGGTAGTACTGCCGGTAGCAGAGGTACGCCAGCACCAGGCCCATGGCTGAGCCAACCAACACGTCTGCAGGCAAGAGCAGAGCAGAGTCAACGTCCTGTTACCATCACAGTCCTTGTCAGTGAGCTCTGCAGCAGGATTGTCAGCCTGCTCGGAGCTGAGATGGATCAGGGACTTGACCTGGTATAGAACTAAGCTTGTACTTCAAAAACAAAGACAAAGGCAGCAAAGAAATTTCCCCCAGAGGAGTAATCGAAAAACCCAATCACACAGAATCACAGAATCACTCGGTTGGAAAAGCCCTCTGAGATCATCACGTCCAACCACTCCTGTCTACCCCCTAAACCATATCCCTAAGTACCTCATCTACCCGCTCTTTAAACACATCCAGGGATGGTGACTCCACCACCTCCCTGGGCAGCCTGTTCCAGCTTCTGACGACCCTCTCAGGAAAGAACTTCCTCCTTATCTCTAACCTGAACCTCCCTTGGCACAGCTTGGTGCCGTTTCCCCTTGTTCTATCCCCCATCACCTGGGAGAAGAGCCCAGCACCCACCTCTCCACAACCTCCCTTGAGGCAGTTGTAGGTGGTGATGAGGTCTCCCCTCAGCCTTCTCTTCTCCAGGCTAAAAGGTGATGGCACTCCAAGGTGCCATTGAGACCCCCGCTCAGAGCACAGGGGTGACACGGACCCACCTTGCCAGTGGTGTTTGTAGTCGCAGGTGCGGGACACGGCGATGAGGGTGGCGAGGGAGAGCGGGAGGAGGAAGGCGCAGAGCCGCAGGGCCCGGCTGCCCCGGCCCGGAGCGAAGCAGCGCAGCTTCCCGGCGATGTAGAAGGCGCAGAAGGCCAGGCCAGCGAAGGCGACTGGAAGGGAAACGTGCGGCTTCAGAAACGGCTCCAGCTCTGCCCTGCACCCCCAGACCTTCACCCTCTGCTGCTGCAGCGGAGGGGCTGAAACAGGACGAGTGCCCTGCCCACACCAGCCAAGTGACCACCGGCTCCTGAGCCATAGAGGAGCCATAAACTGGTACCTGGCAAGCATCCCTCCTTCCTGACAGCTTCACATTGCATCTGTCACCTTTTGCTTAGCAGAGGCCTCCATACAGGCCAATGGATGTAGCCAAAGCCGTGGGGGGCACAAAAGCAAACCCAAGCTGCTCCCCATGGGTCACTGTGTGGGGCTGCAGGGGGTAGGGGACGTGGTAAACTCACACGAAGCGTGTCCGCTGGGGAAGCTTTTGCGTCCCTCGGTCACGACGTCAGGGTCACCCGTGCACACCAGCTCCGCGTTCGCTCGTCCGTCTGGGAAGCAGCGATAGAAGAAGTCCGGCCGTGGCCTGGGGCAGGGAACAAAGCACACCTGAGCACCCCGGTGTCCTGGTGAACACCCACGGTGCACAGCGAGGAAGGAGCCGGTCTCTCACCTGCCCACAGCGAGCTTCAGGGCGTTTGTGAAAACCCCGTTCAGGGCGAGCGCAAGGCTGGCAGCTGGGAGAGAGCAGAGAGGTCACGTCAGCATCAGCCTCACCTGAATCTGCAGCTTTGAGTGCTCAGGCTTCATCTGGAGCCACACAGCGCGGCTTTGGTAGCCCAGGCACAGCGCTTGTGCTCCAGCAAGAGCCAAGGACCCATCTGGGGGAGCCCCAGATCACAGCACCAGAGCAGAGCCCTCGGGGCTGCGGCTCTCGGGGACCAGGAGCTCACCGAGGCAGGCTTCCTGGGTGTCTTCCCGGTCAGCGTTCAGCAGCACCCTGGCCAGGACGATGAGCAGCGCGGGGGACAGGAACGCGATGAGCTGCCCAAAAGGAGAGCGCTGTTCGAGGTGTCTGTTAGGTACAAGCACCCTCACCAGCACACAGCAGCAACTGCTCAGGGAGATCACAGACCTTCCTTCCCCACTGCCAAGCAGCAGCCTCTGCTCCCCAAACCCAACTACGCCCCAGCCAAACCCACCTCCTGCAGAAAATCAGCAGCGCTGTTTGGGAAGGGGGTGTGTGCCCGACCCAGGAGCGTCTCCCCCAAACACCCCTGCTTCAGAGGAAGAGACAGCCCCTTCGATGGACTATTCCGTTTGAAATTCAGCACTCCCAGTTTTATATTAACCCCTTTTAACACAGCCTGGAGACCTGGGGGTGACATTTTCACAACAAAATTATAACAACCCTTTGCTGGAAATAGCGGCTTTCAAGAAAACACTCCCTGAAAATGAGAGGACCTCCGTGGTGCCAGTGATACCGACGTGAAATCGACCATAAACAGTGACAATTCTCACTGGTTCTTATCAGCTCAGTTAAGTTTAGGACACCCCTGGCTGGTAAAACCTAAAAAGGTGACAGAAATGACTGTAAATGTCAAGCGTGCAATAGCAGACTGTGCTGTCAGTGTATGTATTAAAGACTCCAGGTGTCTGCAACACAAGACCCTAAGCTGGTAGCTGTGCTTTGAGAGGACGGTTTATAATCAGAAAACAAACCCAAGCAAATGCAGGAAGCGCTGAACTTACGAACATGGGCACAGTGGGGACGTGCTCCACCTCCATGTACGGGTTCTTATAAAGCCACATCTCCTCGGGCTGCACCACCCGCTGGAACGGAGGCAAAAACTCCATCACCCTGGGGAGGAAAGAATAATCAGATCTGGGGCAGG